ATTGAAATGACCCAGCCTGAGGAGCAGAAAAAAAATAAAGGAATGAAGAAAAAAGAACAGATCCTAAAAGACTCATAGGACACTATTAAGCACATCAACTTATGCATAAAGGAGTCCCAGAAAGAGAGGAGAGAACAGAGTGAATATTTGAAGAAATAATGGCTGAAAAGAGCCTCTGAATGATGAAAGACATGGGTCTATATATCCAAGAAGCTCAATAAACCCCAAATATGATATGTTCAAAGACATCTATAATAAGACATTATAATCAAGCTTTCAAAAGCCAAAGACCAAAAGAGATTCCTGAAAGCAGCAAGAGAGAAACAACTCATCAGGTATAGAGAGCCTCAATAAGATTAATAGCTGATTTCTCATCAGAAACTATAGAAGCCAGAAGGCAGTGGGATGAGGATGTTCTGAAAGAAAACTGTCAGTTAAGGATTTTATAATCCAGCAAGCCTATCCTTCAAAAAGGAAGGAGAAATTAAGACATTCTCAGATAGACAAAAACTGAGAGAGTTCATTTGCAGTAGACCTGTCCTACAAGAGATGCTAAAAGGAGTCCTTCAAGCTGAAACAAAAGGATACTAGACAGTCTTTACTCTACACAAAGCAGTGAGGAATGCCAGCAAAGGTGATTACATAGGCAAATATAAAAGTCATTAGTAATGTATTTTTGGTTTGCAATTCTTTTTTTCCTGTATGATTTAAAAGGCAACTATGTAACACAAGAATTATAAATCCATGTTGTTGATGGACATACAATTTCTAAAGATGTAATTTGTGACAACAACATAAAGAGTAGGGGAAGAGCTATATAGGAGCAGAGTTTTATATACTATTGAAACTAAGTTGTATTAATTTAAACTAGATTGTTAACTATTAACCACCAAGAAATAACTAAAATATATGGTAAAAGAAATAAGGGAATCAAAATAGTATACTAGAAAACATAAAAGAAAGCAATAATGCAGGAAATGAGGGCAAAAAAGATAGGACATATAGAAAACAAATAGGAAAATGGCAGAAACAAGTCCTTTTCACAAATTATTTAAATGTAAGCATGCCAAAACTTAGAAGATACAGCAAAAGCAGTGTTCAGAGGAACATTTATAGCTGTACATCTACATTAGTAAAGAAGAAAGACCTGATATCAATAACTTTTTATACCTTAACGAAGTAAAATAATGAAGAGCCAGCTAAGCTCCAAGCAGAGGAAGGGAGAAGTAAAGATTAGAGTGAGATAAACAAAATAGGGAATAGAAAAACAGAGGGAATCACTGAAGCCAAAGGTTGATTTTTTAAAAATATCATCAAAATTGACAAACTTTCAGCTAGACTGACCAATTAAAAAAGAAAAAAGACTCAGAATACTAAAATCAAGAATGAAATCGAGTATATTATTGCTGACCTTACAGAAATTAAAAAGATTAAAATAGAATGCTATGATCAAGTGTTTGTCAACAAATTAAATAACTTAGATGAAATGGACAAATTCCTGGAAATGCACAAACTACCAATACTGACTCAAGAAAGAATAGAAAATCTGAATAGACCTATAATAAGTGAAGAGATTGAATCAGTAATTTAAAAAGTTTCGAAGAAAGCCCTGAACTTGATTACTTCACTAGTGAATTCTACCAAACACTTAAAGAATTAACAACAGTCCTCTACAAACTCTTCAAAGAAATAGAAGAGGAAGTAACTCTTTCTAACTCATTCTATGAGTCCAGTACTACCCTCATAGCAAAACCAAAGATATCACAAGATATGAAAAGTGCAGACTAATATCTGTTATGAATATATATGCAAAAATCCTCCACAAAATACTAGCAAAGCAAATCCCGTAGCATATTAGAAAGATTATATACCATGGCTCAGCGGGATTTGTCTCAGGAAAGCACAGGTGGTGGTACATGAAAATCATCAGTCAGAGTATGACACCACATTAATAGAACAAAGGACAAGAACAACACAGTCATCTTTATTGATGTGTAAAATGTATTTGACAATATCCAACACCATTTTATAATATTATAATAATAATAATAATAATGACAATATCCAACACCATTTTATAATATAATAATAATAATAACAACAACAACAACAACAACAAACCCAAGGAATGAAAGGAAACTTCCTCAAACTGGTAAAGGAAATTCAAAAAATACACAGCTGACTATATTCTTAATAACGAAAGACTGAAAGCTTTCTAAGATCAAGAAAGGTGAAGGATTGAAGAAGTACAAATTAGTAGAGTGCAGCATAGGGAATATAATCAATAGTATTGTAATGGCTCTGTGTAGAGCCAGATGGATGATAGAGAAATTGGGGCAGGGAGAATCGTTTCATGAACTATATAAATGTCTAACCAATGTACTTTATACCTGAAACTAACTAACTAAATAAAAATAAGGCAAGGATGTTTGCTCTTGCTACTTCTTTTTAACATTGTATTGCAGGTGCTAGCCAGTGCAATTAGGCAAGATGAATGGGAAAATGGCTTCCCAATTGGAAAAGAAGAAATAAAACTATATTCACAGATGACATTATCTTACATGGGCAAAATCTTACAGAATTCTCACACACAAAACAAAGCTAATAAATGAGTTCAACAAAGTTGCAGGAGACAAGATCAACATATAAAAACCAGCTGTATTTCTATACACTAGCAACGAACTATCTGAAAAGGAAATTAAGGAAACAATTCCATTTACAATAGCATCAAAAATATTAAAATTCTTAAGAATAAACTTAACCAAAGAGGTATAAGACTTGTACACTGAAGACTACAAAGTATTACTGAAAGAAGGTAAGGAAAACCTAAATAATGGAAAGACATCTTGTGTTCATGGATTGGAAGACTTAATATTGTTAAGATGGCAATACTCCTCAAGTTGACCTATAAATTTAATGCAATCTCTATCAAAATTTCAATTGTCAGTTTTGCAGAAGGATAAACTGATCCTAAATTTCAGTTGCCATTTTCACAGGACAAGTTGATCCTAAAATTCATATGGAATTGCAAGAGGCCTCAAAGAGCCAAAACAGTCTGAAAAAGAAGAACAAAGTTAGACTTTCTTGATTCAAAACTTACTATGAAGCTACAGTAATTAAGTCACAATCATAAGGATAGCCATTTAGATTAAGCAAATTGAGCTTCCAAAAATAAACTCATACATATATGGTCAATTGATTTTTGATGAGAGTGCCAAGATCATTCAATAGGAGAAAGAATAGTTTTTCAACAAATGTTTCTGAGCCACTAGATAATGTAAGAGCTAAAACTATTAGAAGAAAACTTATGGGCAAATTTTTGTGACCGTGGCTTTGGCAGTGGTTTCCTAGGTATAACATTAAAAGCACAAGCAATGAAAGAAAAGTTAGGTAAATTAGACTTCAGAATTAAAAGCTTTTATACATCAAAGGATACTATCAAGAAAGTGAAAAGGCAACCCACAGAATGAGAGAAAATATTTGCAAGCCATATATTTGATAAAGGTCTGGTATCTAGAATATATCAGGAACTCTTGCAATTCAGTAACAACAACAACAAAATTAAAAATTAAAAATGAGCAAAGGACTTGAATATACATTTCCTCAAAAAAGATATGCAAATGACCAATAAGCACATGAAAAGATGCTCAGTATCATTTATCATAGGGAAATGAAAACCACAATGAGATACCCCTTTACAAGATGGGTAAAAGCAAACAAAACTCTCCAGAAAATTACTAGTGTTGTGAAAATGTGGAGAAGTTGGAACCCTTATAGATTGAAGGTGGGAATGTAAAATGGTACAGCCACTGTGGAAAACAGTTTGGCAGTTCCACTTCTAGGCATATATTGAAGAGTACTGAAGGCAGGTGTTCAAAAACACTTTTATACGTATGTTTATAATGGTATTATAGTAGCCAAAAATTGGAACCAACCCAAATGTCCATCACCTTACAAATGGATAAATAGAATGTGGTATATCTGTGCAATGGAATGTTATTCACTCATAATAATGAATTACCACTACATGCTACATGAATGAACCTTGTAAATGTTATTAAAAGTCCCTGAATTATATACTTTAAAATGGTTAATTTTGTGATGTGAATTTTACCTCAATTAAAAAAAAATTCCCAATAGTAAGAATCATTGGTTATTCATAAAATTTATTTCTTGTATTAACATCTCCATTTTAAATACTTTCGAACAAACACAAGGAAGCTTTAAGGGAAAACAACCTCTTTATTATGTAGCTATACTGTAATTTAAAATTATGTTTATATTTTGATTCTACTGCATCAGTTTATATCCATCCAGATCTTTTAAAGGTGCTTTTATTATTTTGTTATTTTAAAGCATTTGAATTGGACTTAAAATAGCAGAGAGCCTAGTGTTTAAAGCAGCAGTATATCTAATGCTTCAGAGAAATCCAGTGATCATGATGAAGAAATCTCTGTTGATTACTGAAATTATTGTATACTTCAAATTAGAGAATTATTTGAAGGGTGCCAAAATGTTATGATTTGCATTTTCTACAGTGGAAAGACCCTTCTTGTCCTCAGTTGTCTGATTGCTATCTTGTCATCACTTTTGTTTCATGCCTGGCCTTGTATTTTTACCAATAATTTCTATCCTGTTGCTTAAACACTGTTCAATAGAAATATAATGCAAACTATATATGTAACGAAATTTTGTGGTAGCCACATTTAAAGACTAAAAAGAAATAGGTGAAGTTAATTTGAATAATATATCTTATTTAGCTGTATTTAAAATATTTTAACAGCAATATTTTTAAAAATCTAATAAGTATTTTACATTCTTCTAAGTCTTCAAAATTCAGTGTACATTTTACACCGAACATACACTGATCAGTGTGCATTTCGCACTTCTCAGTTTAGACTAGACACGTTTCAAGTGCTCAATAACTACATGTGGCTAATGGCTACAATACTGGACCGTCCAGGTTTGGATAATCAGAACTAGGACATCATCTCCAGAAGGGATATACTAGTTATTTCTGGGAATAAAAAAAACTTTTTGTTTATCTTTTTTGCCCCCAAACAAGTTAGTTTATCTTATTAGACAGTTTTTGACTTAAAAGATACAAAGAGAAATCTATGTTTTAGTGGGGTGAAGAAAAGGATGCTTGAAGTAAGCATGGATGTGACAAGTGAGAGTAAAATTGTAGGAGGAAAGACTAGAATTTGGGCTAAGGGAAGTTGTTAGGGTACTGTTTCGGGTAAGTCCAAGAGAGGCTGGCGCAGCACACAGAGGGACTACTCTGGGCTGCAGAAAAGATCTAGTCCTGGACCATGCTTCTGAGTCAAATGTTAAAGGTGCCTAGTTGGTCATGGAACTTTCTTCTCACTCGCCACCCTCTCCTATACCTTCAGTAGCCTTTAGGTGGATATTACAAAGTACATAGTGACTAAGAGCAGGCAAGACTACTAGAGTGTATAGTCCTTTGAACTGCTTTTCAGATAACTTTTTATGTATCTCCTTTCCCCACCCCCTTGCACAAAAGGAAAATACAGGACAAAGGACACACCAATATGCCCCTAATAATTTAAAATAGAGAATGAATTTCTTCTTTGAGAGATAGAAAGTTAAGGAAATGTGTTGGGAAGCCAAGGGACATACCTGAGAGAAAATACTTGCTTTACCATTTTACTTAAAATTGCCTTGCTTGCTTTCTTCATAGCTGTGCCACTGCATATGTTCTACTGGCTGAGGAAGAAGCAACAACTATTGTAGATGCTGAAAGGTTATTTAAACAGGCACTCAAGGCAGGAGAAACAATTTATAGGCGGTCACAGCAGTGCCAGCACCAAAGTCCTCAACATGAAGCTCAACTGAGTAAGCAAATTTGAACTAATTTTTACCCATCTTTTAGTTGCTGGAATTGGCTCTTTTATGTTTAAAACACAAAATAATAATTTAAAAAACCTTAATACTTCAATGTTAGCTACTTTTCATAAGAGATAACTAACTAATCTATTCATAATATCTACAAGCCAGCAAGACAGAAATATATATTTGCTATAGAGTGCTTGTGGAAGGTAACAGATCTGCCCTGGTTATTGAGAGATGTGCTGCTCTAAGACTTTATAGTAATTTATTTTATGTGAGAATTGGGCTGGTCATTGGAGAAACAACTTAAAAAGATTCAGGAGAGCCTTCTAGTAGTGATAAGCAGCTATTACCTTTACCCTCACCCTTACCCCCAAGCAACAGTAGAGGGACATTTGGTTTGCTCTTCAGACTGTATCTCCATATAGTGCCCGGGAGCAGCCCCCTTAGCACAAAAATCAGCCTTATAATTAGCATTGATTCTTTCTTTAGTTGATTTTTCTCTGATGTGTTTGAGATCTTTATGGGCATAACAACTGAAATCCTTTCTTTCTACTCTTAGAGATACTGTCCCAGTTATGATTGAGACACTTTTACCAAAGATGTTAGAATCTGTGGTACTGCTGCTTCCTGCTGTTTTTTATGGTCAGACGGTTTTAGTTTCGTGGTTTTGGCAGATTGTGGGCAATAAATTGAAATCTGTTTACATAATGCATTATCTGCTATCAGTTAAGTTCTAAATCTTTTGTTCATGGAAATTGAAATTTGGGTAATGTTTTCTCTCTAAACTAAATATTGATGTATACAGCATGTTTCATTAATGCATGTTATAATACACAACTGTGGGAATACATAATTTTGAAACCAATGAAACTACATCTATAGAAAAGTTATGCCATTTGTCTTTGTATCATCTCAAATATGTCTATTAAATAATTACAGAAATTTTGTTTTGAGCATCTTTTGTTTGGCAGTTAAAACAATGGAGAATATTAAAATAATAGATCGTTTATGCTGAAACTTAATGTTATTTCTTCCTACTAATGCATATATTTCTTTTATGTTAATATTAAAATGCATTTGTTAAGTATACATGGATTACTTTATACATACTGTACTCAGATTACTTATTGTTAGAGGGAAAAGTAATGTAAAATATGTATATGTATTAATCTTTTAATATAGAAAACTTCAAACATATATACAAATAGAGTGGTATAATGAACCCCCTAAATGTTCATCACCCAAATTCAACAATCATTAATATTATTCCATTCTGACACAATTTCATTTCAATTGAACCTTCTGGAATAAGCAAATGAAATTAATGGATAATAGGTTAATGAAATAGCAAGTCATAATACAAAAGTGATAGTTGTGTCTTTTTTTTTTTTAAATAGGAAGAGATACCAATGTACTGGTGTATATTAAAAGAAGATTGGCAATGTGTGCAAGAAAATTAGGAAGAATAAGAGAAGCAGTAAAAATAATGAGAGATGTAAGTACATTGGATGACTGTTTATAGTCTTCAAAATTCTGAAAATGTGGTTTAAGTTTCCAGTTATTTTAATGCAGAATAACTGTTTTTAATTGGTAGTTTTTATGAATATACATACATTTCTTAAGGGTTGAGTCTTTACAGTTTTAAGAAACAAAATAATTTCTGCTTAAATGAATCTGATTCAGTTCTATTGAGTTCCTTTGCTATAATTTTAACCTTTTTTTCCTTTTAATATACAGTTGATGAAAGAATTTCCTCCTCTTACCATGTTGAACATCCATGAAAATCTCCTAGAATCACTTTTAGAATTACAGGCCTATGCAGATGTTCAGGCAGTCCTAGCAAAATATGATGGTGAGTGATATTTGTCTTAGTAGATAGCATGGTTAACATTTTTTTTCAATTATGTAATTATAAATGTGAATCTATTGCGGTATTTCTCTGATTTTCTCTTTCCATTTGTACTAGTCAGTATTTATAATCCATGGATACAAGTTACTATTAAGTTACTATTAGTTATCTTTTTTATCAGGACTTTAGGTAGCAAAAGCCTGCAAGAAGGAACTTTTCTTCTTTCAGGATTTATTTGTTTATTGAGCACCTAATATGAGTGAAGCACTCGGCGTACAATGGTGAACAGGAAGACATGAACTTAACTCTTGTAGGATTTATAGTTTAGTGGAACATAGACAAAATAATAGTAGTTACATTGAAGTATAGTGTGTTATGTGAGATAATTGGAAAAGTATGGGTTGCTATTCACGTAGGATGGTACCTCATTTGTTTTGGAGTGTCAGGGAACTTAACAGAAGTTGCTTAGCAGTATGTATAAGAGTAATTCAGAATATTTTGTCGGGAAAACAAAAGATAATGCTGTTAAATAGAAACTATTTTGGTAAGTTGGAATTCAAAGATGTATATATAATTGCATAAATGTAAGAGTACATTAAGTCAAATACAAATACTGTTTTTTCTTAAATGCATAATTATTTATTGCCATGACAGATTGGCCCAAAACGAAAGCTGTGTTCAGAGTGAGATTTGCCCCTTAAACTGGAGTGATAATTTTAATGAAATGTTTGTGCAAAATAAAGTGCAAGAAGTATAAAATGTCTTTCTTCCAAGATTAATAAGAGTGATTAAATGATGAATAAGATTTTATGGCCAAAAAAAAAAAAAAAAAGAATTCAGAATAAAATTTTTGCCGTGCTTTTTAGTTACAAAGTATAATTTTTCTTATCTGATCCTCCTAATAATCTTGTGAGGTGGTGAGACAAGTACTTTTACTATCTCCAGTTAGTATATAAGGAAACTGCAGTTGAAGAAGGTTTAATAATTGGGTAAGGTTTCTAGCCGGTAAGAGGCAGGCCTGAACTTAAATCCAGGTATTCCATTTATTTGTTTACTAGTCTTCCAGTAGTAAGAAGTCAATATACTGGCTGTTTTTATTATTATACTATAACTGCTAATTTACCACAAAGGGAGTTAAGAGAATTTTTAAGCATAGCCTTTCTCCTCAGTCTGAGTGAGGCGTTAGCTTTTAAGCCCATACTGAAAACATCCTAAGTAGCATAATGTTTCTGATCATATCTCTCACTATAACAGAACACAGAAGTCACTTATTCACACTTGTCCAGTTGTAAGTTCTTAGCCATTAGCTTTGGAATGCCCATGACTTGGAAGGTTTGAAATGTGTTACACTTGGAAAGAGAAGTTTATTTCTTTTAAACATCTGGAATTCTTAAGAAGTGCTTCAGAATATGTAAGCTCGTGGAGAAATTTATGAGAAATCTTTCCATATGTAACTTATCAGATGCATGGCCTGCTTATGATACTATGATAAACAAGCTTAAAGACCGAAAATAAAACATCAGCTAGGACCTGAGTCATTAAAAATAAAATTAACAGATATACTTCTGTATTTTCAGTTGTTTTTATGAGTCCCCAGTTTTTACTATTCTAGAATTCTGAGAAAGTTAAAAGCAAATTTACTTTTTTAGTTCTCCATTTACTGGTATAACTATGGAATCTGAAACTTCAAGGGAATTCTGTGGTCTTACTTTCCTGATGACATTATTTTAGGTTTCTTTTTTAAGATTTATTTTTAATTATAGTTGACATATAATATTATATTAGTTTCAGATATATTGATTGAATAGACATTTTTATACCTTACAAAGTGATCTCCATGATAAGCCCCATATATAGTTATTACAATTATTGACTGTATTCACTATGCTTTCTGTACTTTACATCTCTGTGACAACTTTTATTACTGTCAGTTTGTACTTCTTAATCTCATTCATTTTTTTCACTCATCCCCCCACCTACTTTCCACCTGGAAACCATCAGTTTATTCAATATATCTATGGGTTTGTTTCTGTTTTTGTTTTTCGTTTGTTCATTTATTTCGTTTTTTATATTCTGTATAGAAGTGAAATCATACTGTATTTGTCTTTTTCTGTCTGCTTTATTTCACTCAGTCCCTCTATGTTGTACCACATCCTCTATCCATTTGTCTATCAATGGACACGTGGGTTGCTTCCATCTCTTGGCTTTTGTGAATAATGTTGCAATGAACATAAGGATGCATATGTCTTTTTGAATTAGTGTTTTTGTTTTCTTTGGATAAATACCCAGAAGAGGGATTTCAGGTTCATATAGTAGTTCTATTTTTAATTTTTTGAGGAACCTTCATACTGTTTTCCATAGTGGCTGCACTAGTTTATAATCCAACAACAGTGCACAAGGGTTCCTTTTTCTCCACAAATTCTTTGTTGTTGTTTTTATAATAGCCATTCTGACAGGTATTAGGTGATATCTCAATGTGGTTTTGATTTGCATTTCACTGATTATTAGTGATATTGAGCATCTTTTCATATGATTTTTTGCCATCTGTGTGTCCTCTTTGGAGATATGTCTATTCAGGTGCTCTGTCCATTTTTTAATCAGATTGTTTGCTTTTTCTGTGTTAAGTTGTATGAATTCCTTATATATTTTGAATATGGATCCCGTATCGGATGTATCATTGGCAAATTTCTTCTTCCATTCAGTAGGTTGTCTTCGTTGATGGTCTTCTTTGCTGTGCAAAAGCATTTTAGCTTGATGTAGTCCCATATGTTTACTTTTGCATTTATTCTCTTTGCCCTGGGAGACACATCCAAAAAACTATTGCAAAGACCAATGTCAAAGATCACTGTCTATATTTTCTTCTAGGAGTTTTATGGTTTTAAGTCTTACATTTAAATCTTTAATCCATTTTGAATTTTTTTTTTTGTATATGGTCTAAGAAAGTGGTCTAGTTTTATTTTATTGCATGTATTGGTCTAGTTTTGCCAATACCATTTATTGAAGAGACTGTCTTTACCCTATGTATATTCTTGCCTCCTTTGTTGTAGATTAATTGACCATGTAAGTGTGGGTTTATTTCTGGGCTCTCTCTTATGTTCCATTGATTTGTGTCTTTTTTTTTTTTTTTTGCCAGTATCATACCGTTTTGATTAGTATAGCTTTGTTTGACATCAGGTAGCATGGTACCTCCAATTTTATTCTTCTTTCTCTAAATTGCTTTGGCTATTAAAGTCTTTCATGGTTCCATGTAAATTTTAGGGTTATTTGTTCTAGTTCTTTGAAAAATGCCATAGGCAGTGAATCTGGAGATTGAATCTGGAGATTGAAACTGTAGATTGCTTTGGGTAGTATGGACATTTTTTTTCCTGCTCTTTAATTCCTCCCCTCCCCCACTTTCACCCCTGACCTATGGATGTTGCCATTTCCCCTTGAGAACTGGATCTGTGAAGGGGGTTGTCTCCTCCCACACATGCTTGCAGCATGCACCCAGGGCCTGGCGCACCCAGAGGGGCTGGCACACCCAGGATATGGTCTGTGTCTCCACCTGGGGCACAAACCCAGGACCTTCTGTGTGTAAACCAGACGTGCTAACCGCTACACTATGGAGCCACCCCTAGTATGGACATTTTAACGATGTTAATTCTTCCTGTCCATGAACACAGTATGTCCTTCTATTTATTTGTATCTTCAATTTTTTTTCATCAATGTCTTATAGTTTTCCAAGTACAGGTCTTTTACCTCCTTGATTAAATTTATTTCTAGATATTTCGTTCTTTTTGATGCAATCGTAAATGAGGTTGTTTTCTTAATTTTTCTTTCTGATAGCTTGTTATTAGTGTATAAAAACACAACATATTTCTGAATATTAGTTTTGTATCCTGAAACTTTATTGAATTCATTCATTCTAATAGTTTTTTGGTGGGATCTTTAGAGTTCTCTGTATATAGTATCATGTCATCTGCAAATAGTGACATTATTACGTCTTTCTTTCCAATTTGGATACCTTTTGTTTCTTTTTCTGTCTGATTGTTATGGCTAGGAATTCCAGTACTATGTTGATTAAAAGTGGTGAGAATGGGCAATCTTCTCTTGTCCTGATCTTAGAGAAAAAGCTTTCAGCTTTTCATCATTGAGTATGATATGATATTAGCTGTGGTTTGTCACAAATGGCCTTTATTATATTGAGGTATGTTCCTTGTATATTCACTTCGTTGAGAGTTTTTATTCTAAATCGATGTTAAATTTTTTTCAAATGCTTTCTGCATCTATCGATGTGATCAAATAACTTGTATCCTTCATTTCGTTTATGTGGTATATCACATTGATTGATTTTCTATTTGGGGCATTCTTTAAGAAAAAATTTATATAATTATTATAATTTCTGATTAATTATTTTCTGGAAAAAAATGTCATTTAAAAGAATGTAGAAAATACTAAAACACAAGAGAAGAAAAAATTAAAACCACTCAGCGTTATATCACTTGGATTTAACTACAGTTAAATATTTTTTTTTATTGAATCTTAGTTTTTCTCTAAGAATAGGTTGAGTTGTGAATAGGTTGAGTTTTTACATAGTAGTTCTAAGTATACTATACCTTTTTCCCTGAATAGTATTATTGAAAGCAAATTATTATAAACATTTGTTGAGTCCTTTTTACCATTGTGCTGAGGGCTTTCACAGACATACTTTAATTTAATCTCTGCCAGAAAATTACCATTTTACTGTTTTGACAAGAGAAAACCGTGGTTAAAGAAGTTGCTACTTGTTCAAGGATGCATAACTAGTAAATAGTAGATTCAAGATTCGAACTTAGGTCTTCCGACTAAATGTCCTTATGCTTCTACTACTATATTATATCTGTTGAAATTGTACTATCAATTATTCTTATTAAAAATTGTCTTCAGGTATTTTTTTTATTCTTACAAAAATTGAAAATTATTATTACAGATATAAGCCTTCCAAAGTCAGCAGCAATCTGTTATACAGCAGCACTATTGAAGACAAGGACTGTTTCAGATAAGTAAGTACTTATGAAAAATAAAATAATTTAGAAAGACTGCCAACCTCAATATTATGTATGTCATCCATTGACTTTAAACAGTGCTCGTTTTCCTTTCTACTTCTTTCTGAATAACCCTTTCTGAATAAGCCCTTGAGGCTTCTTACTATGTGTAGTAGTGGAAAGGGCAAGGTTTTTAGAGTTAAGTAAACCTGGGTTCAAATTCGGGTCTACCACATACTTAGGCTTTGGAACTTTGGGCAAGTTAATCAGTTTGATTCTTTTCCTCATCTGTAAAATGAGAGTAATAATACTATAAGGTGGTTATGTGAGGACTATATGTAATAAATGCCTAAAGCAAAGCTGGAAAGAAAGTACATGCAGTACATAGCAGCTATGGTGATAATGATAAAGTGTGTGGTAGGGAAATAGGTTTCATATTATCTATTCTGAGTTATTCTGTATTCCTTGTATTTTTTGGCTGCCCTTAACGAATGTCTGTATTGCACAGGTAAGCTATTCAGAAACCAACTTAGTGGTGACATTTTTTTTCACCTTAGATTACTACACCTTGATATGAATTAGAATGGAATATTCAGTCCGTTTCTTCTCAATGAAAATATGATAAGAATGTACTATTTCATGAGATTCTCTCGATATCTGTGTAGCCTTTCTTTTATTCTTTCCCAAAGTGAGCCTTCAATGAACTACTCCTGAAGCCTTTCTTTACCTAAATTTGAAGATTTTCACTTCTTATGCTGCCTTTTTTAATATGTTGGACCAAAGTCTTTACTTTCATGCTTAGTTATTTGGCTTTGTCTTTAGCCATCACCGGAAACCTCTGATCAGGGGGCTAGATTATGATCTAAATCCATGTATATTTTTTTTATATTCATTTCTTTATTTTGTGGTTTTCTTACAGATTCTCTCCAGAAACAGCCTCCAGAAGAGGATTAAACACAGCAGAAATTAATGCTGTGGAAGCAATTCATAGAGCTGTGGAATTTAATCCTCATGTCCCAAAAGTGAGAACTTTTATGATAAAAAATACTGCTTTTAAGTTTATCAAATTGATTACAGTGTATAGACCAAAGTTTGGGTCTCTATTATTTGAGTCAGAATTGTTTAGTCTGCTATAATTTGATGCTTATTATTCACCTGAAAGGAGATGTTAAAAGGCATTTAGAAGGTAGATAAGAGCAGCAGTTCATCATAGGTTTTGCAGTTCTTGTCAAAATAAAATTTGAAATGTGTTTGCTTAGCTGTTCCTTCTATTATAGTTATAGAGAAGAAATAAAATGGCTAGGTCTTAATAAAAGATCATTCATATTTCAGATCATTAAATCAAATTTCCTGTTACTGTGAAAGCTTTTTATATCTAGACAGATGCCTGGGTTTTGAACTAGGGCTAGGTAGACAAAGACTGCCAATAAATAGATTAAAATAATCAGTGATAGGAAACAGATGTGGAAGTTCCCAGAAAAAACTGCCAAGTTAATGTTTATTTAGTTCCAGATGAGACTATATCCATCTCATTTGTCTTTATATTGTGCACCTTGCAGACATACATAGAGATTGTTGGTTAATCTGTGTGTGTTGTCTCCCAAGATTAAATTGTAGGTTTTAAAAACAATGCCCATGTTAGGAAGTGTAGAATATTCAAGAATAGATGCCTTTTCTACAAAATGTAATCGTAACTATTGATTCCATATAATGTGTATTAATAGAATTTGGAAGCTAGTAGACATTAAAGAGATTAATCTCTAAAAGATAATTTACAAGAAATGGAAATTGTATATCAGTTAGAGTAAGTAAAGAATAGAGTCAAGAAAATTACTAAAATCTAAGAAATGACACTAGTCCTATAAATTTAATTAAATTTTTTTATTGTGAATTATAATACATACACAGCAAAGTGTAAAAAAAAAAACAGAACTGTGCATCTTAAAGATTTATTATAAAGCAAATGAGTGGAAACTACCACTGAGGCCCCCCAAAAAACATTGCCAGCCCCAAAAGCCCACCTGACTGCCCTTCCTCAATTACAGCTTCTTCCCTCTTGCTAAAGGTAACCATTATTCTGACATCAATTATGTTCACTTCCTTCTTTTCTTATATGTTTGGTTTATACTTTTCCTTTGTTGTTGACTTTATAAAACAAGTTAAGGAGTGGTCCCTCTTTTTATTTCCTCTGGAATAATTTGTGTAAAATTAAAATTATTTCTGCCTTAAACAACTAGTAGAATTTCCTGATAAAGTCATCTGATTCTGGAGTTTTCCTCGTTAAGAAAGATTTTTTTGTTACAGATTTTACTTCTTTAGTTTAATATTTTAATTACAAATTCAGTTTCTTTAACTATTACTTAACTATTCAAATTTCTTATTCTTGTATTGGTGTTTGTGAAGTTGTATTTTTCTAGGAATTTATCTCATCAAAATTTTCAGATTTATTGGCATAAAGATTTCATAAAATTCTTTATTACCTTGTTAATATTTACAGGATCCGTTATAACATCCGCTTTTTAATTGGCAATACTGGCTACCTTTTCTCCCCACCTTGATCATAGTCTCTAGGGATCTATCAGTCTTGTTAGTTGCAAAGAGCCAAGCTCTGGCTTGGTTGGTCCTCTCTACTATTTGTTTTCTGGTTCATTCATTTCTGTTCTTTATGGCCTTCCTTCAACTTTCTTTGGCCTTGTTTTGTTATTTTTTGTTTCTTGTATCTTACATAGATACTTAACTCATTAATTTTCAGCCGTTCTTTTTCTAATATATCTATTTAAGCCTATAAACCTCTTTCTAACCACAATTTTAACTGCATACTATAGCAATATTTTTTATATAATTTAGTTCAAAATGTTACCTAATTTCCATTGTTTCCTCTTTGATTTAGAGATATATTTATTCCATTTAAAGATATATGCCTTAATTTCCAAATATATAAGATTATCTTTTCATCATTGTTTTCTAGCATAATTGCATTGTGGTTAGAGAACATACTTTGTGTAATTTCACTCCTTTGAAACATTTTTCAATTTTTGAGTTTCTGTTTATTTTTCACATCTCTTTTTAATTCTCTGCCAAAATTTTAAATATAGTTTTTTATTTCTTTTAAAATAGTTTAAAGTAATAAAGTCTTTCTCTGATAATCCCAATATCTGGAACTTCTATGTATCTGCTTCTATTTTCTTTTTTTCTACTGCATCATGTTCCTATTGTCTCGTTTTCTCTTATGCCACATTTTCTTTGACTATGTGCCAGGTGTTTGAAATTGTAGAAATAACTTAAAACCTCAAATAATATTATCTTTCTTCAGAGAGTATTTTCTTTGCTCTTAGAGGCCTAGAAGAAGCAGGACAGGATCACCTTAATTCAGTTTCAGAGATTGATAATTTTTGGTCCATCCAGATGCCTCGAAAGTGGGCTATAGTCCTTGAAAGTTCTGGTTTATTTCTGATTCACCCTTATTTTTAGGGAGAAGACTTTCAGGGTCCCAATCCAATCCTGAGGAGTTTGCCCAGGCTGTCACTCTGACTTTGTTACCCTAGCCTTAAGACACTGACAAAATAGGGTGAACAGCCTCTTAGCCATCTTGTCCAGAATTGGCAAATGTTGCTACAGTAAAAGAAGCCCCAAGTGTGGCTTACTTCTCTGATTTCTGCCTTCATTGGACTGTAGGCTGGTAATTTCTTACCTTCTGTTAATTATATGATGTATTTAATTAGATTTTTATATGTTTTGTTCAGTCTTTTTAGTTGTCTGGGAGGATTGATCTGAATTACTTAGAATTCCATTTTTGGAAGCACTTTTATTTGAAATACTGTGCTGTTTCATGCTTCCGAGTAGTTTACAGAATGGATTCTGCAACTAGACTGTCTAGTTTTGGATTTGGGCTTTACTATTTCCTAGCTGTATGACCTTGGACAAGTTATTTAACTTCGTTGGACTTGAGTTTCCTCTTGTGTCAAATGGGGATAATATTCCCTACCTCTTAGAGTTGTTATTAAGATTAAATGAGTTCATATCTTTAAAGTGCCTGTTTAAAGAAGACTGCCTGTTACATAGTAAGCGAAACAGTTATTGTTATTATCTAGGATGGGATGGGAATCTGTTCCTTGTGTGAGAAAATGAATAGCAGTTATTAATCAGAACTATTGAAATTAAATACACCACTAAGATGTCTAAAAATTTTATTTCTACTCAAAATATCAAAATATGTACTATCTGTTTCCTATGGTTGTAGACTTCTTCTCATGCAAAAATGTATTCTCAGTAGTAACAGTTCTGATGATATAAATTGTGCATTGATTTTCAAAACTACTAGTAGAGGCTCATGGGTGGAAGGAGGTTAGTGGAAATGCAGGCATTGCCCCAATTATAAAATTAAAGTGTTGGATAGGTAATATATATTAGCTCTCAGATTGAATCTGCTCTAAGTATTCTATGATGACTTTTTGGATACTTTTCTTTTTTCAAAACACACACAGATATATACTGAAATACTTTGAAACAAGTCTGAGAGAAATGAAAGAAGACCTATATAAATGGAAGAGATATACCATGTTTATGAATTGGAAGACTTAATATTGTTAAGATCACCATTCTCCCCTAATTGATCTGTAGGTTCAATGTATTTCCTTTTAAAAATCCTAGCAGGTTTATTTGTAGAAATTGACAGGCTCATTCTAAAATTTATATGAAAATGCAAGGATCCTAGAATAGCCAAAAAATATTTGAGAAAGAAGAACAAAGTTGAAGGATTTATTCTACCCAATTTTAAGACATTTTTAAACGGTTTTTTCTTCCAGACATTTTATATAGTAATTAAGATAGTATAATATTGGCATAAAGATTGAAGTATATAAGTCAGTGGAAGACAACAGAGAGAGAGTCCTGAAGCAAACATGCATATTTATGGTCAGTTGATTTTCAACAAGATTTCCAAGGCAATTTAATGAGAAAGAATAGTCTTTTCAACAAATGGTGCAGGAACAATTAAGTGTCTATATGGGGGGAGGACCTAGACCCCTTCCCTCACACCATATACAAAAATTAACTCAAAATGGATTGTAGATCTAAGTTTAAGAGATAAAATTATAAAATTCGTAGAAAGAAACAGCAGAACATCTTTGAGGCCTTGAGTTAGGCAGAGATTTCATCAAAAGCACTATTACAAAAGAAAAAAGTTGATAAATTGGACTTCTTAAAACATTGGTTCTTCGAAAAACATTAAGAAAATGTAAAGACAAGCAAAAGACTGGGAGAAAATATTTGCAAGTCATATATCTCTTGAAGGACTTGTATCCAGAATTATAAAAAACTCTTACAATACAAATAATAGGATGACAAACAACTCAATTAAAACATGGGCAAAGGATATGAATAATCACTTCACCAAAGAAAATACACCAATAACTTATAAGCACATGAAAAGATTCTTAGAATCATTAGTCATTGATAAATACAAGTTAAAACTACAGTATGATACTACTTTATACCCACTAGAATGGCTATATTCAAAAAGACTGGCAATACCAAGTGCTGACAAGAATGTGGCGAAGCTGCATACATTGCTGTTGTGCATGTAAAATAGTATAGCTAATTTGAAAAACAATTTGCAGTTAAACACATAGTTGCTTACAATATGACCATCAATTCCATTCCTAGGTATCTACACGAGAGCAATGAAAACATATGTCCATACAAAGACTTGTATGCAAGTATACAGGTATATAAATATTCGTAGCAGTATTATACACAATAGCCCAAAACTTGAAACAATCAAAGATAGGTGAATGAATAAATAAGTTATGATATATCTATACAATGGAACACTTCTTAGAATTAAAATGGAACAAACTATAAGTACATGCAACAATACAGATTACCCTCTTAACCTCAAATACTTTATATCAAGTGAAAGAAACCAGACACACATATTTTATGATTACATTTGAATGCGATTTCTAGAACAGGCAAAACTACAGACCCACAAAGTAGATCAGTGATCCCCTGAATCCAGGGA